CAGTGTCACTGGCCCTCATATGTGGGATCCGAACCGGGGCCCTCTGGTGTCCCAAGCGAGTTCTTAACCTTCGCGCCACTCGGCCGGCCCAGGACTGTCCTTTTTTATAAAAAATTTTTTTTATTAGGGAACAACCATGGTCATTGGTTACACATTGCTTTCTTACTACAATGGCATAGTTGGCACAGCTCACTGTGGCCCATGCGGGGATAGAACGGGCAACCTTGGTGTTATCTGCACCACACTCTAACCAACTGAGCTAACCAGTCACCCCAGGACTGTCCCATTTAATCCTCACAACAACCCTATGCAGTAGGTACTTTTCTTATCTCCATGTTACTACCAATCTTGCATAACCTTTCTGAGCCTGTTTTTTTTCAAAACACAGTTTGAAAACAAGGAAATCTCACTTGATACTCAGTTTTATAGCAAAACACAGTATCTACTGTACTTCAATGCAAGTAAAAATCAAACGAGATAACATGCAAAGACACTAGTCTAGTCACTGTATGGTATATGTTCAAAAGACTCTCATCTTTAAAAGAAAATCAAGAAAACCTATTCTTTAATCCTGTATCCCTGCTAGCTGTACTCTCATTTTGCCGTTTCCTTAACAAAACTTTTAGAATATCAGTCCAATTAATATTCACCTGTCTCCATTTTCTCATCTTCCCATCACTCAACTTGCTGTAATAGGGATTTGGGGTAGCCTCCAATACTCTACTGAAAGCATCCAATAATTTAAATGTCAAATAGAACGGACACTTTTTTAAAAAAAAGATTTCATTGGGGAATTGGGGAAGGGGAACAAATTATTGTCCTTCAATCTTATTGGGTTGTCGGAAAAGTCATGACGCATGTTTGCAACAGATGGCACTAGTTCATTTTTGGAAGTACTAGAGTCATTTGCATATATGTTATTGCTAGGTCATTTGACAGCTGACAGTTCTAGCTTCATTCTAAAAAAAAAAATTGAGCGATTTGGTTGAGTTTTGGAGATGTTTTACAAGTTGAAGATGGAAGACCAAACTGTGCATTTTTGCCATATTTTACTGTTTTACTTCTATAAAGGGAAGAACGCGCGTCAAGCTTGTGAAAAGTTGCATCAAGTTTACGGTGACAATGCTCTACAAGAACATCAGTGCCAACAATGGTTCACAAAATTCTGTGCTGGTGATTTTTATCTCAACGATGTTCCTTGGTCAGGGAGACCCACTGAGGTTGAGGATGACAAAATAAAGGCAATGATCAAGTCAAACCCACATTACATGACACGAGAGATTGCAGAAACATTGAACACCCATCATTCAAGCGTTCATGAACACCTGAAGAAGCTGGGATATGTAAGCAAGCTCGATATTTGGGTTCCGCATAAACTCAAAGAAGTTCATTTGATGGCATGTATAAACATCTGCAATCTGCTCATTAAACATGAGGAAAACAATCATTTTTTGTAGCGAGTGATAACTGGTGATGGGAAGTGGATTGTTTACAACAATGTGGTGTGGAAATGGTCTTGGTCCTGACATGATGACTCGCCTCAAATGACATCGAAAGCAGACATTCATCAGAGGAAGGTTATGCTCTCAGTGTGGTGGGATTTTAAAGGTGTCGTGTTTTTCCAGCTCCAACCAAGGAACCAATCAATTCGAATGTGTACTGTCGGCAATTGGACAGTTTGAACGAATCCATCAGCCAGAAATGTCCAGAGCTTAATTGCAAAACAGTTGTGTTCCATCGCAACAACGCGAGACCACACACAAGTTTGATCACCTGTCAAAAACTATTGGAGCTTGGATGGGATGTGTTGCCACACCCACCATACTCGCCTGACCTTGTGCCTTCAGACTTCCACTTGTTCCACTCTCTTCAAAACTCCTTGAGTCGTATAGTGTTCAATTCAGATGAGGCTCTAAATCAGCACCTTGTTCAGTTTTTCGCAAATAAAGACAGGTCCTTCTATGAACGAGGAATTATGAAGCTCACTGAAAGATGGCAAAAGGTTATCGAACAAAACAGGCAATATATCACTGATTGATCTTTGTTCTTTTTTTTAAAGATTTTTATTGGGGAATTGAGGGGATGGGAACAGACAAGTTGCTGTCCTTTGGTTCTTCAGTCTAGTTGTGGAGGATGTTGCTTCACTGGCCCAGGTTGGCACCATCATTGCGCTTTTCCAGGTTGAGACAGATCAGTTGCCGGCTTCTGGACAGCCGCTCACTGTGGCTGCTGGCCACACATGGTAGCTTATGGCAGCCCACTGCAGCAGGGGCTGCAGCCTACGCCATTGCCGGCAACTCACAGCAGCCCAGCTCCAGGTTGAGCTGTTATTCAGCATCTTAGCTGAAGAGGGCAGTGTCACTGGCCCTCATATGTGGGATCCAAACGGGGCCCTCTGGCGTCCCAAGCCAGCTCTTAACCATTGTGCCACTATGCTGGCCTTGATCTTTGTTCTTTATATAAATAAATGACCTTTGAAAAACAGACAAAACACGTCATGACTTTTCCGACAACCCAATAGTCGTGGAGAGTGCAGCTAGTTCAGCTCCAAGTCCAGTCACCATCTGGCCGCCTGTTGGCAGCTTGCAGTAGCTCAGCTCAAGGTGCCATGTTCAATCTTAGTTGCGGGTGGGCATAGCCCACCAACCCATGCGGGAGTTGAACCAGGAACCTGTTGTTAGGAGCACGTGCTCTTACCAGCTGAGCCATCCTGTTGGCAGCTCAGCTTGGGCACAGCTCACTGGCCCATGTGGGAATCAAACCGGCGACCCAGTTGCTCAGAGATTGTGCTCTTAACTGACTGAGCCACTCGGCCGGCCCAGAATGGACACTTTTAATTCCATTTTTTATTTGCAGTTTTAAATAATGTAAATAAATACAACACAAAAATACTATCAGCTTTCAAGTTAGAAAGCCCTGAGTTTGAATCTTAGCTCCACCATTACTAGCTATATATAACCTCGGAAAACCCAAGGACACCAGAGTAATTTTTTGATCCAATGTTTTATTCAATCTTCACAACATTCCTATGAAATAGGTACTACCTAAGTTAAAACAAACAAACAAACAAAACCAATGGCCCTTGTGTAGTAAAGAATTTAATTTTGTCGAAAGAGAGGTCTGGCCTTCGTTCTTGGCTCCTGGGAAGTAATCTCTAAGTCCTTGGAATGTCATGCCTAATATCTGGGATTTTGGATCACACCAGATTTCTAACAATGTGATTTATCATGGGGGCTTTGGGTCATGTGTTGTCAGTTGACCTCTAATGGGACTAGACACTGAGGTCAACAGCATCTATGTGATGAAGCACTAATAAAAACTATGGATATCAAAGATCGAGGGAGCTTCCCTGGTTGGCAATGTCCATGCCTATTGTCACATCTGTTGGGGGAGTCAACACTGTCCACAAGAAAGGACAATCAGAAGCTCTGCACTTAGAACCCTCCTGGGCTCTGCACCACGATGTCTCTTCCCTTGGCTGATTTTAATCTGAATCCTCTTACTGTACTAAACCAAAACCATGGGTATAACAGCTTTCAGTGAGCTCTGTGAGCTGAAGCAAATTATTGAACCTGAGGGTCATCTTGGAAACCCAAACCTGCAACTGGTGTCAGAAATGAAGATTGTCTAGGGGACTGGTCTCTAACTCTGCAGCTCCATAGTGTGAGAGCAGGTGACTTGCTGGGGCAGTGGCTGAGTAAGGGAATTTTGGACCTGGGTCTCTAGGACTTCTAACCTACATTGTTTCCTTCTCTTTCTTCAATCTAAAAAATACCTCACTGGGTATTCTGAAACTTGGCTTAATGGTGTAGTTTTGAACAGAGCAGATATAGGCTCAATGTAATAACACAACAATTTCTTTAAAAAAAAGTTTATTTTGTTCTCTGTACTTCATTTAAAAACAGCGCATATTTATATATGTATATGGTATCTATGAAAACTACACACACATACACATAAAATAAAATAAGGCAAAGTTGCAGCAAAACAACCTGAAGATAACTCTGGCCCTCAAAGAAACTATCATCCTTG